TTTTTTCGGAGTTTCAAGTACAGATCTGGTTACGCTTGATTACGCTATCGTGAATTTGGAAGGGTCAAATGTATTATTTTCTCCAAGTTCATGTAAGGCGGTTTTTGAACATCACCCTTTACACCAGGGGTTCTTAACCTGGGGTCCATGGACCCCCATGGGGTCCGTGGAGAGTCCATGGAAAATTAAATCTATAATTGAAGGTTGCTCCCGAAAACATCATTTACAATCACAAACCCAGGTGCTCCAAAGTTTCTGATAACCGGGGATGGGGGTCCATGGGTAATACTTGAGGATCTGGGGGGTCCGTAGGCGCAAAAAGGTTAAGAATCCCTGCTTTATACTCTAGCTGGGAATTGCGTAATAGAACTCTTGGTTGGGGGGAATACGGAGGATTTCACCGAGAACAGCTCCCTTCAATCATTTTGGATTTAAGACTATATAAAATTCCTGACAGGAAATACCTAACTCCCACTTTGGAATTTTTTCGCGCGTGATACACGGTATTGTGGGGTAGTGGGGTGGAGGGTCGTGAGGTGGAGGGTCGTGAGGTGGAGGCCGTTCGGAAACGGACCATTCACCAGAGGCACGCTATTTGCTTTCGGACTTCGGCCTGCAGTGCTTCATGCCGTCCTGCTACCAATGCGTCTGATTGGCGACAATAGATTTTGCATGAACATTATCTGACTATATATTAAAACAGTGGTTCTTAATCCCTGGGTCGCGACCAAAAATTGGGTCGCCAGGGGTCTCCAGTGTCTGTCCGAACTTTCACATATAATTTGGTAATTTATCACAAGTGAACTGTTTGAAGGCACGGGTCGCCGAGCTAGCCCCGCGACCGGAATTCGGGTCGCAGCCAAAAAAGGTAAAGAACCACTGTATTAAAATGACAACAGAGGCCTACAGCTGAGTGGGATGAAGACTATGCCGCTCAGCGTACTCATTGACTGGCTCCGGTTCCCGAGGTTCCTGGACCTTGACAAGGTAAGGGCTGCAATGCCTCTCGAAGTTCCTGGCCTAACATGGAACCTTGGTGGCCTTTTGATGCTCCAACCCGCTTGACAGCTAAAAATAGACAGAATCAGCGGGGAAAATCCCATGCCTCTGGGATGACACACGCTCGAGTTCAGTCGGATGAGACCGGATGGATCACGAACGAAGACGCACGTAACCTCTCTCATTCAGGCTTTTCTTTCCGACAAAAGAAAATCCAAGGTCAATAGGTTTTTTTCTGCCAAGTTTATTACCTGGTGACTTAATTCCCAGTCTCAGAATGATATGGTAGGCAAAGTATATACATACACTCAAATCTTACTATTTTAAACGTTTTGAAAATAATTATCTGGACAAATCAAATCTTTAAAATAAAATGTATAGGAAGTTGAGCATTTTTCCACATATCCCACAACTCAACATCCGGTCACTTTAGGTTCCTTTTACAATGACAGCATCTCCTCAACAATGCCTAAAATGTGAAGACAATTTTCACTCTTCAGATCCTGCACGGCCTTTGTAGTGTCACTTCGGTTTCTACAATGCA